GTGTGTGTGTGTGTATGTATGTATGTATGTATGTATGTATGTATGTATGTATGTATGTGTGTGTGTATTAATATATACACACACATGTTTGTATATAGTTTCTATAGCTTCTATAACTGATTCTTCACACCCTCCACATGTAAGGAGGCTAACACCTGAATTTTAATCTTAATGTTGCTGAACCTCAGTACTCGTAGTTGACATGAATGTAAACACAAATGTCTAGTGTTTCGTGTTTCTAGCTATGGACTCTAGATCCAAATAATTAGAGTGTAACAATGTGTATTCAGATTTATTTGCTTTCACCACCAACACTGCTTACTGTATGCTTCATCTGCTTCTGCACTTCAGTCAAAATTACAATTAAGTTGGCCTTTATTAAGCAAATATTTTTAGACTGCCCACCCATCCATCTTTTGCTACTTATTCTAATCTGGATCACAGGGGTAGTCTAAGCAGATTAACCCAGACCTCTCTCTGCACAATCACCTCCTCCATCTCTTCAGGGGAACACTGAGGTATTCCCAAACCAGCCAAAAGATGTGATCTTCTCCAGCGTGTCCTGGGCTGCCGGGGGCATCAACCCAATGGGACACATCCAAAACATTTTACCTAGTTACCTCCGTAGAGTACCTTACATTTGACTGAGCTCCTCACCCTTACTTATAATGCAGCTACTTTTGAATCTTTTGCACAAACACAGGTAGTAATCAAAATGGGCTATCAAAGTAAGCCTAAATAAATATCCACGCTAATATTTTTTTCTATTTACTTCAATCATTGTCAATTCTTCAATCAAGTACCAACTAATCAGAAGAAGCCTGCTGCAAAGTCACTTGGTGTGATTATGACCATTTCAGAATATGAACAGGCTCAACAGGCTGTGAAAAGTATATTACAAATATGAGTTATGATCTCAAACAGATTTGGTCAAACACTGCTTAGAAATGACTCTTGATAGCAAATTTGCCAACCCTAGCTCTAGGTCACCCTGGCAGGCAGAACAAGTTCATTTGTTTGGATTTTTTCTCCTCTTTTAAATGGACCTGTGGAGCTAAATGAGGGTTTAAAAGTTTTACGTGATTTGAATCTGAAATTCTAAGTTTTGATATGAAAAAAAGTATTATTTTATCTTGAATAAAGTTTTTTATTAATTTATTTATTTGTACTTTTTTTTCAGCATCACACCCTTTTTATTTTTAGTATTGCGTTGTGGGCCTTTATCAATGGAGAGTGGCGAGGCTTTGACTAATGACTGACTAAGTTAATTATTGAGTTAATGTTACAAACATTCACCCAGGAATATAGTCCATCATCAGACAATCAGAAACCGTGTTTCCTATCTGTTAGCTGGTGTCTGCAGCAACCTGTGACGAGCGGTGGCCACCTTGAACTAAAATATTTATTTTTAATTTCTAACAAATGTGTCACAGCAGCTGTTAATCATTAGTCCACACTCTGCCCTTCCCCCATGATACACGCCCAAAATACAAAATCGGGATCTGAACATCTGATCTTAAGTCTGAAACTAAAAATATTAGACTTCAAATTTAAGAAAAGCCAAAAGAAATAAAACTGTAAAAAAACAAAAAAAAACAAAAACAA